GGCCAAGGTGACCGGGACACGAGTCACCCACGGGTGGCCGCTCCCGGCTCCGTGTTGACACCAAACACGGCGGGGCCGGGCAAGGCCGGCCGGGCTGGGAGGGAGCGGCCGGGACCGTGCCAGCCCGGAGCCACCCGGCTCGAGACCGGCGAGGTGGCATCCGGGGAGGTGACTTCCAAACTCCCTCCAACCATCCCGACCCGGCAGCGAAGGCACGAAGGTCACAGCAAACGTCCTTGGTGCCGTGGGCGGTCGGGGACGGGGTGCTGGGGGGCTCACCCACCCCCCCGGTGTGGGGCGGGCACCGTGCCAGGCTCCCCGAGGTCGGGGTGGGACGGGGGAGCAGCCCAGGGTGAGGGGCTGAGGGTGCCAGTGCTGAGCCCGGGGACCCCCAGGAGCCCCCAGCCCCCCGGGAGCCACGGGGGACACACGGGGACGGAGGGAGCACCCACGGGTGTGACACAGAGTCCCGCTGGTGTCACGCCCATGGACACGTCCCCAACACGTGTGGCTCACCCCAGGGACACCTTGGCGGGTCCCACACCCTGTCGGGGCGGGGGAGAGGGACACTCGGGGCACCCCGGCACCTCTGCGGGGTCACTGCAGCCCCCGCGCACCCCACAGCCCTCGGGGGGCCGGGACACCTTCCCCAGCCCCTGCAGTGCGGACCCCAGCATGGGGGACACCCCCACAGACCCACACAGCCCCTGTGCCCCCTGAGAGACACACACGGCCCCTGTGCCCCCTGAGAGACACACACGGCCCCCGTGCCACCCACTCACCCCTGCCCGCCCCAGTGTCACCCACCCGTCCCTGCCCGCCCTGGTGTCACCCACCCGTCCCTGCCTGTCCTGGTGCCACCCCCGTCCCCCCTGCCTGTCCCGGTGCCACCTCCATCCCTTCCCGACCCGGTGCCGTCCACCCACCCACCTCTGCCCGGTGTCACCCACTCGTCCCTGCCAGCCCGGAGTACCCACGACGCCCACCCTGCCCGGGGGCACAAGGGGTGCCGTGCCCACCCCCGGCGCTCTCCGCCCCGTCCCCCCGTGCCCCCCGTGCCCCCCGCTCACTCAGCCGGGGGTTGCCGCTGTAGTCTCTGGTCACGGCCATCCCGTGCTCCCGGGCTGCCGCCAGCGCTGCCGCCGCTGCCGGTGCCTTGGTGGCGGCCATGGCACGGACACGGGCACGGTCACGGTCACGGCGGGGGCGGGCAGGACGCGACAGCGCCCCGGGCTTTGTACCCCCGGCCCGGCCCCCGCCCGACCCGCCCGCCTGGGCGGCCCCGCCCGCGGCCCCGGCGGCACCTGAGGCAGCGGTGACACAGGTGACACCGGCGACACAGGTGACACAAGGGACACCGGTGGCACCGTCGGCCCCGTGTTGGCCGTAAACAGCGGGAGGGAGCGGCCGGAGCGGCCCCAGCCCCTGACCAGGGCCTCGGAGAGGGAGAACGGGGGTAGGGATAGGGAATGGGATAGGGATAAGGGATAGGCGTGGGGTAGGGATAAGGAATAGGGAATGGGATAGGGATAAGGGATAGGGAATGGGATAGGGATGGGGTAGGGATAAGGATAGGATGGGGTAGGGATAAGGGATAGGGAATGGGATAGGGATAAGGAATAAGGATAGGGATAAGGGGTATGGGTAGGGGTAAGGGCTAGGGAATGATATGGGGATAGGGACATGGCCAGTGATAAGGTTAGGGACAGGGATGGGGATAGGGGTTGGGATAGGGGTAGGGATACAGGATAAGGGAAAATGGAGGGGTATAAGGGAAAAGGATAAGGAATAAGGGTAGTGACAAGGAACAGGGATAGGGATAAAGGCTAGGGATAAAGGCTAGGGAACGCTCTGGGGATGGGGATATGGGTAGTGATAGGGCTGGGGAGGGGAATAGAGGTGGGAGTAGGGCTGGGGTGGAGACAAGCCTGGGACAGGTGAGGGGACAGGGCTGGGGACAGGTGGAGCTCGGGGCAGTGCCAAGGGCAGGGGAGGAGGTAATTTGGGGGGGGAACGGGGGTACGGTGGGTGCAACCCCCCAGAGGCAGGGCAGGGCTGGGGGCAGGGCCGGGGGGGGGCTGAGGGCGAGGGGGGAGTTTGGGGGCACTGCTGGGCAGAGGTGGTGCAGGTATCCCGGTGGGGGGGATTTATTCCAGGGGGGAAGGGTGCAGGTATCCCCGTAGAGGGGGAATCCATTCTGGGGGGGGTTAGACGCTTAGGGAAGCGTCCCCGGAGGGGGGGATTCACTCTCGGGGGGCTCTGAGGAGAGCAGGACACGCTGGGCTTCGAAATGTCACCATGGGATGGCACCCACGGGGCTGGGGACACCCACGGGGCTGGGGACACCCACAAGGTTGATGGCACTGGGAGCCAGGGGTGAGGGATTCCCAACCCTGGATCCCAAAGGCGATGGAGGACGAGGAGGAGGCAGGAGGCAGGACATAACTTTTATTAACCATTAGAAACCATAAGAAACCACATTATTCCCTAAAGTTTTACATCCAGTAGTTGCTGGGGTTTTAACTCTTCCCCCGATCCCCTCGGGCAGGAGGAGCCGCTGGACTGGGATGGACTGGGGGGAACGGGTGTCCCCACGGCCCGCCCACGACCCCCGGGACAGCTTCGCTTTGGAGAAGGAGTTTTGGAGAAGCAGCAGCTTTGGATCCGACCTGGGACCTTTGTGAGAGCAGCATTTGGGTTTCGACGGGCGGGAAGAGCGGCCCGCGGCCTCCCCGCTGTGCTTCCCGCGGATCCCTCGGGATGTGGAGCAGCGGGAGGAGGATGCGGGAGAGCCACAAGGACGCTCCGGACCGGGAAAACACATCAGGGACCCTCCCAAAACCGAACTGGGCTTTGCTTTTCTCTGAAACGCCCCCAAACCTCCTCCAGCCAAGAAGGTTGAGGGGGGTTCACTCCTCCAGCAAACCCCGGGTTCCTCCCGGCGAGCCCAGAGCGGGAGGAAGCGGGGTTGGAAAGCTTGGAAAATCCCTGCGGTTCGGCCGGGAAGAGGGAAAACCAAAGCAAAGCGAGTCCCGAAGGGGGTTTGAGGGCAGGATTCCAAACCCAAGGGAGGGCACGGCTGCCCCGCAGCCCCCGCACGCCGGGAGCGGGAGGGGCGGGACCGGCGGGATAAATATAAATTAAGTGACGGGGGGGGAGGGCGAAGGGTCCCGGCAAATCCCAAACCTCACACACGGCGTTGGGGTGCCGGGGTTGGAGCACCCCGGGAGCACCCGGCGAATTCCAGGGAGAAGAAGGGAGATGTTGGCGGCGAGCCTTGGTCTGAGCCGGGGGGGTCAGGAGGGCTCGGGACCCCCAACCAAACCCTGTCTCTCCTCCTGCCTCAGTTTCCCCACCTGCGCCGGGGGTGCCGACCCCCCCCGAGCTCCCCTTAAGAGCTCCAAAGGGAGGGAACAATAAATACCATTTCATAGAAAGGCTCCGTTTTGAGGAAAAAAATAAAAATCACCGAAACCTTCTCATAAAATCATTTATTTTAAATATTTCCCTGCAAACCCCTGGGAACGCGCGGGCTGGGAGCTGCGTCCCCGTGAGGGACCGGTCCCGGCGGAGCAGCAGCCCGGGGGAGGGGGACGCTCAGTGTTAATTATCGTTGTTAAAACCATTAAACGGCGGCGGGAGGGGGCTGCGGCCCCCGGGTTTGGGGTGTGTGGGGGGGTGTGAGCCCCCATGGCAGCTCCTGGGCTTGGGGAGGGGGCTCAGGGCGTCCCCCCGAGCCTGTCATCCTGCCAAGGCCGTGCTGACACCGCGGACCTGCCACGCTGCCCCTGTCCCCAAAGGCCACCTCACGCAATGCCCCTCTGGTTCTTGCCCCCACGGAGCCACACCGTGCCCGAGGCCCGATCCTGCCCCGCGGGAAGCCACCGTCACCTCCGGGATCGGGTGCCCGGGTGGGAAGAGGCTGCCCGGGGGGGCTCAGCACCTCTCTGGGACGGACCCTGGGGCTGCCGGGGGTGGGATCGAGGTGTGTGTGGGGGGTGCTGCGAGGCCAGTGCTCAGGGTGGGGCTCCCCGCAGTGCCCGCGCTGAGCGCTCAGCACCCCGCGGTGGGTCTGGGGGTGCTTCAGGCTCCCGGCGGTGGCAAAGACCCCAAGACCCAGAGGGGCAGATCCTAGCGTCACAACTGTCCCCAACTCTGCCACGTCCCCCTCGGGGGGTCTCCTTGGGGGGGTTCAGGACGGTGGTCGGTCCCCGGCTCCCTCCAGCCCCCTCGGGGAGGTCGGAGGGGGTCCCAGAGGGATTTGCCGGGTTGGGACGGCACCGAAGCGGGTGCAGGGTGGTGCTTTGGCTCTGCACGAGCAGAGGAGGAGCCTGGGGATGTTCCAAGAGTTGGGGCAGCGTCTTGCTCCGATCCCAGGGACCCCTGGGGGGGCTGGGGACATCACCCACACCCCCCCCGGACCCGGCGGACCTCCCTCAGCTGTGCCCTCGGAGGACAAGTATCCCACGGGAGCAGCGCCCGGAGCCCGCGGCCACCGGGATGCTGCGAGGAGACCTCAGGCAGGACACGCGGCCCTTCGCAGGTGGAGAAACTGAGGCACGACCCTCGGCCAGGGACCCCCCGGCCGGGCGGGGACAGAGCCCGGCGCCACCCTGCGCTGTCCCTTTTGGGGTGACCCCAACACCGCAGACCCCGGGGGGACAGTCCAGGGGGATCAGAGCTCCGCGGTCCCACCCGTGAGAGGCACCGAAAGACCACGGGGCAGCAGCGACCTCCCTCCGAACCCCCCCCCGAGCCGCTGCTGTCCCCGCACAGAGCGCGGGCGGTACCTGGAGCGGGGGGGGGGGGGTGGCGGCAGATCCAGCGGGGTCAGCGAGGGACGGGGCAGCACCGGTGACACGGGACCCCCGGGGACCCCCCGTGCGTGACATCCGCGGCTCCAGCGCTGTGTCCGGGGCGGGGGCCGCGCGTGCACATTCCCACGGGGACGAACCATCTCCCGCATCCCACGAGCCGAAGGAAAGGGAGGGTGACGGGGGGGGGGGGGGCGCAGAGGACGGCGGAGGTGGGGGGGACACACTCATTTTGACACTCGTTTTGATTTAAGGGCTCGGCTTCTTGCTGGGTATAGAACTGTCTTTCCTCTCCAGCCGCGTGTAAGGCTCGAAGGCGGAGGTGCCCAGTCCGTACGCGCCCGGCAGGTCGTGCAGGCCGCCCAGCAGCGGCCCCCCGAAGCACAGCGGCCCCCCCGGCAGCCGCGGCGAGGAGGAGGAGGACGAGGAGGACGAGGAGGCGAGAGACGGGACCTGCAGGCTGAAGGCTGCCGGTGCCGGGGGGCTGCTCCCGCCGCCCAGCCCGGGGGACGCGGGGCCCGGCGTGGCCAGGCCGGAGCCGTTGCCCGCGGGGCTGGCGATGGGGTTGGAGGCGGGGGACAGGAGGCTGGGGGGGGCCGGCACCGACAGCAGCCGGCCCTGCTCCAGCAGCCGGAGGATGTTGCAGGTGGCGAAGGACTCGGAGGTGGTGGAGGAGCGTTTCTCAGAGTCCCTGCTCTGGTCCTTCTTCTGCTTCGTGCGGCGGTTCTGGAACCAGACCTTGACCTTGGGGGTGGGGGGGGGAGCGGGGGGACGGGATGGGGAGGGAGGGGGGACAGAAAGGCACGGACGGAAAGAGAGCGCGGGGGGGCCGGGGAGAGAGAGGCGAGAACCAGGAGAGAGCGAGAGATACGAGAAAGAGAGAGAGACGTATTAAAATAAACGCCCAAGCGAGATCCGTCCTCCGCCGGGGGAGCTGCGCAGAGCCGCCCCCGCCTGCCGCTCCCGGGGAAAGCGAAATTCCTGCAGCGCCGGGAGGGAGCGGGACAGGAGCCTGGGGCTGGGACCCTGGGGATGGGAGCCCAGCGAAGGGCGCCTGGGGAGGAGAGCCCAGGAACTGAACTCTTGGGAATGGAAGCCTGGGCATGGGACCCCAGGGATGGGACCCCCGGGAGGGGAGCCTGGGAATGGGAGCCCGGGCATGGTAGCCCAGGAACGGGACTCGGGACAGGAGCCCAGGGTTGGGAACCCGAGGATGGGACCCCAGGGACAGGAGCCTGGGGATGGGACCCCATGGATGGGACCCCATGGATGGGACCCTGGGGACAGGAGCCCGGAGCGCAGGGCCCGGGGCTGAGCCCCCCCCCCGCCGTGCCCGGCTCTGCCCTGTGCTGGTTCTCCCGGGAATGCTGAGCTACGGGACGTGCTGGATTCTCCTCGGAGATGCTCATCAGACCCGAATTTATGCCCCCACCTGCAAACCCTTCCCTCGCCGGGGCAGGGGGAGGGTCCCCGGCCGTGCTGCGTGAGGGGACGGGGTGGCTCCTGGTGGCCCTGGATCTCTGGGCACGGACCCAGCTGGGGACACCCCCACCCCAACCTGCCTCTGGCCGCGGTCAGGAACGAGCCCGGGGCTGAAACCCCGCGGGATCCCCCTGCCCCAAAACTGCCCCTGCCTCCCTCGGGTGGGATCCGGCCCCCAGCCCGCGGCTCCCCCGTCCCCCCGAGCTGGGAGGGCAGCCCCCCTTCCCTCCCTCCCTGGCAGAGCAGAGGGGTAGGAGAGGCAGAGAGAGAGACAGAGAGAGGCGTGAGGGGACAGACAGACAGACGGAGACGGAGGTGAGGGAAGGAGACGGATGGGAAGACACTCGGATTAGAGCGCGGTGGGCGGGGGGCGGCACGAGCGGGGCCGGGCCGGACGCCGGCGGGACCCCGGGGTAAGACACGGCCGGGCCGCGTCCCCCCCTGCTCCGGGGCCAGCAGGTCTCGGACCCCTCGGAGTCATCGGAAGCTCGCTGGGGCAGGACAGTCCCTCGGTGGCACGGCCCTCACGCGTCCCCAGCACAATAGAGCCACAGTGCAGAGCTAATGGAGCGTGGGGGTGGAGGAGGTCCCGGCGCCCCGGCCCCTTCCCAGGGACACAACAGAGGAGCTGCCGCCGGCCTCGGGCGGCTGGAGGCTGGGGACGAGCTCCTGGGCAATGAGGGACACCAGGACCGCGGGGCCAGCACCCCCTGGGACCACCGGTGCTGCCGGTCGACGCCCTAACCCCCTCATCCCACGTGGAAGCTCCCAAGGGCATCCCCTGCCCACACACACCCGCACAGGGAATGTCCCTCCCTGCCACCAGGGCGGCTGGCACGGCCCGGCCGGGCCCCCAGGGCTGATGTCCCCACCCCACCACCCCCACGTCACTCCGTGCTGGCAGTTGGGGTGGTTTTGGGCACGGTCCCGTGTCCCTGGGCATGGCCTGAGGCAGAATTACCATCCCAGCAGCTCCTCCGGTGGGGACATCCTGGAGCTGCCGAATCCCGGGCAGTGCAGACCCCAAACACGCAGGGGGGGGGGGGGGGGACAAACAGGGCCCACAGAGCCCCTCAAACCAGCTCAGCAGTGACACCCTAACGAAGACCCAGCACAAATCCAACCGGGAACACACAGCCCTGGCACTCTCTGCTCCAAACATCCCCCAGGCAGCAGCTCCGGAAGAGCAGGAGCTCAAAACAATCCCCATCAACGGGATTATGTCCCTGAGGATGGGCAGGAAGAGCCCACGGATCAGGTCTGGCATCCCCTGGGTGCAGCTGCCCCATCCCTGTGCCGGGGAGACCAGAGATGATGGGATGTGCTGGATCCCACCCTCTGGGATCTGAGGGGCACTTCCAGCCCTGAGCCCCAAACCAGGGGATGCTCCAGAGCCCCCCTGCCACAACCCCTGCCCAGGGACACCTTCCACCAGCCCAGGCTGCTCCAAGCCCTGTCCAACCTGGCCTTGGACACAGCCAGGGGCAGCCACAGCTTCTCTGCCCAACCTGTGCCAGGGCCTCCCCACCCTCCCAGCCAGGAATTCCTTCCCAATATCCAGCCTGACACCAGGGGAGCAGTTCCCTCTCTCCCTGCTGTGGGAAGAAGCCACCTGAGCAGAGCCACAGCCCCGACACATCAGAGCAGGAGCTTCCTGAGCATCCAGAAGGAAGGACCAAATCCCTCAGGGAGAGGCAGGTGCAGCTGATCCCACTGTGCAGCATCGCAGCTGCTGCAGGAAAGGGAACAGCCCCAGGGTTTCAGGGAATGCAAGGACTTGGGGACATCAGGTGGGGTCAGCAGGTATGGGATGGAATCCCATCAAGGCAGGAGCATGGAGTGACAGTGGAAGGGGGAATGGCTTCCCACTGCCAGAGGACAGGGATAGATGGGATATTGGGAAGGAATTCCTGGCTGTGAGGGTGAGGAGGCCCTGGCACAGGTTGGGCAGAGAAGCTGTGGCTGCCCCTGGATCCCTGGAAGTGTCCAAGGCCAGGCTGGAGCAACCTGGGCTAGTGGAAGGTGTCCCTGCCCGTGGCAGGGGGTGGCACTGGGTGGGATTTAAGGTCCCTTCCCACTCAAACCATTCCATGACTCTGATGATTCTGACATGGGGTTCCAGTGCGGAAATATGCTCCTTACATGAAGAGGATCCATTGGGTTCCTCCTTCCCAGTGCTGCTGCTGGGAGCCTGTCCCGGCACCGAGCCCCTTCCCAGCTGGAATTTCCTGTGCTCCCAGTGCCGTCACCAGCTCTGGCTGATGCCGCCGGAGGCAGAGACAGAAACACATTCCGGGGCCCTCCCCGCCCTCCCTCTGCATCCCATCCTATCCCAAGAGGTTCTCCCACCCCGGACTCCCCTCGGTGGCTCTTCCCTGCACCCAGCACCCAGCGCCCAGCACCCAGCACCCTGCAGAGCCCATCCCGGCCGAGCCCTCTGCACTAACCGTGTCCCCTCGGGGCTGGCCCGGTGACACGATCCCTTCCCCACCCGAGCCCTCCGCACTAACCCCGTCCCCTCGGGGCTGGCCCGGTGACACGAGCCCTTCCCCGCCCGCCCCGGTGACACGGCAGAGGAGCCGGGGCCGCGTTCGCCTCGGCGGCTGAAGTTCATCTGCAACTCGTCCCTAATTAGTGGCTCCCTGTCCTTTTCACCCTCCATTATGCTCAGCCCCGAGTCCCTCTCGGAGGAGGCGGATGAGCTCAGCCAGACGCAGCCCCTTGACAGCTCCATGAGTAATTCCCCTCCAGCCTCAGCCTTCCCTCCTCGTCCCCCCTCAGCTCCTCCTCCTCCTCCTCCCTCGCTCCGCTCTCCTTCACAGCCCCCTCGGCCACCGCGGCTTTGCCAAATTGCTCCCGACGAGCTTTTCCTTCCCTACAAAAAGCAACTTCCTCGCTTTTCTCGCCCTGGTGCCGTGGCACCGACGCCCTTCCCGGCTCAGCCTGGAGGAGCCGGGGAGCGCCACGCTGGGACATTCCCGGTGGGAACCACTCCAGCATCCACGGAGGAGGTGATGCAGCCCCCTGGAATATCTTGTTTCCTGCCAGACAGCGGCTGGAAGGAGAGAGGGAGAGCAAGGACATCCCTTCCCTGGGAAGACCGAATTCCCAGACGTGCCAGTCTGGGGACTGCCGGGACGTCTGGGCACAGGGATGGCACAGGGAGAGGGGGAGAAATCCTGGGAATTGCCCTGGGCTTCCGCTAGCCCAGATTGCTCCAACCTGGCCTTGGACACTTCCAGGGATCCAGGGGCAGCCACAGCTTCTCTGCCCAACCTGGGCCAGGGCCTCCCCACCCTCCCAGCCAGGAATTCCTGCCCAATTTCTCATCTAAATCTCTGTTTCTCCAGTGTGAAGCCATTCCCTGTGTCCTGTCCCTCCATGCCTTGTCCCCAGTCCCTCTCCAGCTCTCCTGGAGCCCCTTCAGGCCCTGCAAGGGGCTCTCAGCTCTCCCTGGAGCCTTCTCTTCTCCAGGCTGGACATTCCCAGCTTTCCCAGCCCGGCTCCAGAGGGTGCAGGCAGTGACCAGGAATGTCAGACCTCACGGCATTTTTGGGGGAAAAAAGCCATTTGGAAGGTCCAAACCTGCAGCCTGGTCCTTTTGGGAGACCCTTCCCAGTGTGTGGGGGGAATCCAGCCGGGATCCCTTCCCATGTCCCCACGGAGCCCCTCACCCTTGTCCCACCACCCCTGATGTCACCAGTGCATGGGGGAGCTTCACCCCCCAAAAGCTGTGTGATCCCATCCCATTCCCAGTTATGGGAATGATGTAAATAAAAAAATAATAGAAAATTAATTATATATATATATATACACTATTTTGTATTACATATTATTTTTATTTTCTAATAAATATTTCACAGTCTATGTATTATCTTTTATATGTAATACGTAATGTCTAATGTATGTATTATATAAAACATGTAATGTATTCAATATACTGTATTTTTATATGATATATTTTATTTTATATTTTATATTTATGTATTATGATGTTGATATTTTTCCTTCTCCCTAAAGCTCCTCCTCGTCCATTCTCCCCATTCCCTCTGAGGAGAAGGGCAGGGAAAGCCCTGTTCGCTGCTGGAAAAGCAAATGCTGCAATTCCCTGCACTCCCAACAGCTTTTCCTGCAGTGACAGCATCCACAGGGCCCTGGCTGCCTGGGAAAATGGGATGTGGAGCCCTTGGAGAGCTCGGCAGGAGTCCCTGTGTCCCTCCTGAGCTGTGTCACCTCCTGCGTCCAACTCAGGCATCCAGGGG